GGGGGGGGGGGGCTGAGAGTAACAAGGGGGCCCCCAGGAGTTAGACCACTCAGCACGCACTATGCAGGGACAGCTAGGGACCGCAGCACAGTGAGGAAGACAAAAAATAGAGCAATGTCCCTGTCACATCCAACCAGCCTCTGGCCTTGAAACAGGAGGTGGGAGTGAGGGTGGTGAGACCTCTGGGCAAGCAGCTGAGTGTGCCTGGGGGTTGTTAACTGATTCCTGTATTGAAAATAAGGTTTTGGGGGGTTTGGGGTTTTGGTTTGGTTTGTTGTTTTTGTCTCTGTAAGTCCCACATCTTTCCATTCATGCAATTTCAGGGTCTGAGAAAGGTGGATGGTGAAATTGGCAAGTGGTTTTCAGAAGCTCCCCCACCTCCACCCACTCACTCTCGGTTCCGACATTTCCAAAACCTTCTGCTGCCCATCTCCAAGGAATGGCAATGCCTCCCCAAAGCATGTGCTCCCAACCCTACCATCTCCCCTGGCAGGGGAGCCCGAGCCCACCCTCCTGCAGGAAAACAGCTCGTTTTGAAGGAGGAAGCCGGGTGGTAGAGAAAGTTTTGGGGGGAGGGGTACTTTTTCAAGCCCCTTAAGCACACCTTGGGCTCAAAAGGCCTGTTCCTTTCAAAGAGGAGAGAAGGGGAAGATTGGACCTGGATGGGGTGGGTGTCAGGAGGAACCAAAGGGACCCGGTTCTGGGCAAGAAATTAAAATGGAACAAGCCTGTCCACAAACCCCCATCAGACCCAGAAGACTGTGCCCAGTCCAGGCACTGAGGTCTGCAGAGCTGGCTCCCCACAGGCTCGCCGCTGGCCCGCTGCGAGCGCTCTGTGCCTCCTGGGGTATAAAGTGAGGGGAATGACCCTTCTAGGGCCTTGAACATGAGGAGATCACGGCAGGGCCCCGACTCCCCGCGTTGCAACAGCCCTCCCAGAGCCCCAGCCCCCTCGCAAGCAAGCTCCCGAGCGCTGGAGCTGATGGTTTCTCCTGTTAGACTAGTTTCCCCAGCGCTCCGATGGCCAGGGCCTTGGCCAACCTGACGGGCTTTGCTGTTTTATGAAAAGACATTTGCCCCTCACTGTGTGGCACAGCGAGAACCCAGAAGCAGAGTCTTTTGGCTCAGATCCTGGCCCTGCTGTTCACTGTCTCCTGAACATTGGGCAAGTGGTTTCAGCTCTCTGTGCCTGGGCTTCCTGGGGGGTAAAGTGGGGACAGTGGTGCCCATCCCAGGAGCTGTCGGGTTCGATAAACTCAAGCTGCAGTGCTCGGCACTGCCTTAGCACATGGTAGAAGCTTAGTGAGTGTTAATTCCAGTTAGTCGACGCTTCTGGAAACTTCCTGGAGCAGGCAGAGCAGAGCATGTTATCTCCTTTCCAGAGGAGGCACGGGGTGCTGAAGGTCCGAAATGTCCACCTTTTATATGGGAGAAGCCAGCCCCGAAGTGACCGATTTGTTGGCTGCCCTTCCCTGTCCCCTTGACACTAGAGTTTAAGTTCATGGGTGCCCTTGTTCCCTCTCCTCTCATTTTATAGAAAAGCATTTCAGCAAAATGTCTTTCCTCAGCCCACAAAGGCAAAGGTTGGATTCAGTGGCACCCAGTGCTCACACGAGTCCTTGGCATCTCAGTGCCTCAGCAGCTCCTTTTGCTCGTGTACTTGTCCCCCTGTTTTCTCCCAACACTTCGGCATGTGATGCTGAATTAGAATGAAAACAGAGGAGTGACCCACCCAGGAGGCAGGAGAGGGGTTTGGGGTCCCATTCCAGCACTTTCCACTGAAGGCCTGGGGGGCCAGCCCCGCCCTTTAATTTCGCTGGTGTTACCTTTGAAATGAAAGGTTGAGACTAAAGATCCCTCTGGCTCTGACAGTGTATGATTTTTAAAGACACCTGAGAAGGAAAGGAAATCCCAATATATACAACCTGCGTGGTGTTGCACGTGCAGGAAAAGGCCCCCCACCTCCTTTCCAGGAGCGTGCTCCCCTCGCTTGGGGATCAGCAGAGCTCGGGACTCTGGCTTCGGCTCCAGTGGAGCCGTGTCTTCAGCCAGGCAGAGCCATGTCTGCTGCCCACTTTGCTGGGCACGCTGCCCCTTTCATTCTCACAACAACCCCAAGAACGAGGTGGAGACCATCTTCATTTCAGCAGATGGGGAGACTGAGGCACAGAAAGGTGATAGGACCTGCCCCAAGTTACACAGTGGTTAATCTCGGGGGAGGGTGCTGGGCCTCTCTTCTGGTCGGTGTAGCTCCAGATCCCCTCTCTCCAGGACACCGAGCTGATCCCCGTCCCTAGGCCCACAGACAGATCTGATTGTTGAGGCAGCAGGTCAGATATTTTATTGTTCTGTGACCGTCTAGCTCTGTAGCAGCCTACGGAATGGTCTAGGACCTCAGTACCTGGGGGTAAGATGTGCAGTGTTAAGTTTTGTCCCCCAGTCCACCTGCTGTTCACTTGGCTAAGGTCCGTGCCCTGTTTGCTTTCTGTAGTTGATGTCTTGCCCACAACTGCCCAGCCCACCACGAAGTCCACCCCTAAGAAGATAAGATGCCGGTCCCCAAGCCTGGTGACTCCGAAGGGTGAGTTCCCCTGTCCCCAGACTCTCAGAANGAATAGCCCTGCACTTGGGAAAGCTTGGAACACCCCCCATGCTATTGTAGCTCCTCTTACAAACCAGACATCAGGCCTCCAATTATCTTTCTGCTGTTATTTTTTTTTTCCAGCTCAATTTTCCCCTTGCTGGACCAAACTGATAGTACAGAGAAGGAGCTAACATCCCATAGGGGTTCTATTTTTTCTTTAAAGTAATTTAGTTCCTTCCTTCCTTCCTTCCTTCCTTCCTTCCTTCCTTCCTTCCTTCCTTCCTTCCTTCCTTCCTTCCTTCCTTCCTTCCTTCCTTCTGCCCTTCCCAAGTACACACTCTCAAGCCCATTTCTCTGGCCCTGAGCTGTGAGTAGCTCACAGTCTAGTGGGGGACACACTTGCCAGTAGTCACAGGATAAAACTTAATGAAAGATTCGTCCACCCAAACTTGCATACAGATTTTCCCAGCAGCATTTTTCATAATAGCCCAAAAGTAGAAACAACTCAGATGTCCAACCAATGAGCGGATTAACAAAAGGTGGAATATCCATACAATGGAATATTATTTGGTCATAATAAAGAATTAAGCACTAATACACGTTACAACGTGGATGAATCTTTAAAATGTTATGCAATGGAAGTAGCTAGTTGCAAAAGACCATCTATTATATGATCTCGTTGATATGAAAAGTCCAGATGTAACATTCCATAGAGACAGAAAGTAGATTAGTGGTTGCCGGAGGCTGGGGTCCTGGGGGAGGAGGGGGGAGTGACTGCCAAGAGGTACAAGATTTCTTTCCGGGGTTGGGGGGGGGATGAAAATGTTTGTTAATGAGTGAACAAGTTCACCGATCTGCCCTGTAAGCACCAGACACCGCAGCTGGAGTACACACACACACATACACCTATACACATGCACACACACACCCATACACACGCACATGCACATACACACGCACACACGTACTTTTCTTGAACCCATAAGCCCAGTGTGTTTCTGGAAAAATGCTGATCTCTGTTTCCCAAAAGTTACTGGTGGCAAACAGAAGGCGCCATCTGCTCCAACCCATAGAACAAACCACAAGCAGCCACACCAAGCGGCTCATGCTGCCGGGGCCGCTCGGCCTCAAACACACAGCAGGCGCCCGGGGGGGCCTGGGAGGGGCAGCTAACAGGAGCGAGGGGATGGGAGTGGGGCACCGCCCGTTAGTCATAGTCAGTGAACATGCACAAAGGCAACATCTTAGGGAACGCAAAGGTGGAGACAGAGTGGCCTCGTTTTATAAAGTTTATGCCCCACAACGTCGCCTGAAGGATTTCAGGCAGGGTACAACAAAAAAGGACACAGGGAACATGTAACAGGGCCGTAAATATGAGGTCTGTGCTGTGGCTCTGCAGGAGTCAGCTCACCCAGCTAAAACCAAGGGGAAGCAGCCCTGGCTGGGTGGCTCAGGTGGCTGGAGCGTCATCCCCTACACCAAAAGGTTTCCCGTTCGATTCCCGTTCAGGGCACACACCTAGGTTGTGGGTTCGATCCCTGGTTGGGGTGCATATGGGAGGCAATCAATTGATGTTTCTCTCTTGCACCAATGTTTCTCTCTCTCTCCCCTCCTCTCTCTAAAATACATATCCTGGGGTGAGTATTAAAAAAATACACAAAGGGAAGACTCCAAGCAACATGGCACCACCAATATCCACCCCACTCCCCACTACCACCGTGACATAGAGACACAACCCCGGGCATCAGAGCCTTCAGCTGGCCTTAAATTCTAGAAGAAATCTGCTTTGTTCATCTTTGAGTCAGGACTGCTGAATGATAGTGAAGTCGGTAGTACTTTTATAAATGATGGAAGAAAGGTCTTCAGATTTCTTGCATCATTTCTAATATTAATCCTCTGTAAAACCCTGGGGACAAAATGCAAATCCAACATTAGCAGGTTCTTTAGAATAAACAAGTGGCCAAGTGGAGTGCAGAGGGGGTGATAGGTGGTGGTTGCATTTGGGGAGGGAGCCATGGAGCTGTGTAACCTAGAGGTAAGTCAGCCAGGCCTTCGTTGGAATCCCTGTCTATCGCTGCCTAATACTGTGTGATCTTAGGCAAGTGATTCAGCCTGTCTGAAACTCAGTTTCCTCATCTGTAAAATGGGACCTGTAGCTGCATTGTGACCACCCTTCAGGAAGCCTCTCCTAACCCACCCCCCTTAGAAAGAGGCAGCCTTCCTGCTCGGCACGACCCTGCAGTCTTCACCCACTTCTATTACTTTTTTAAAAGTTACCGCTTTATCGAGGTATAATTTGCGTGTGATAAAATTCACCCATTTAAAGCGTGTAACTCAATGATTTTTAATAAATTTACCAAGTTATACAACCATCACCACAATCTAGTTTTAGAACTTTTCCATCACCCCTGAAGATCCTTTGTACTTGTTTACAGCTGGTTTCTGTTCCCACCCCAGCCCCTGGCAACCACGAAGCTACTTGAGACTTTCTGTCTCTATAGATTTTCTCTCTCTATAGATGTGCCTCTTCTGGCCATTTCATATAAATGGAATCATACAATGTGTGGTCTTTCATGCCTGACAACTTTCACTCAGCACCATGTTTGTGAGGTTCATCCGGGTGGGGAGAACACGGAGGAGGCAAGAGGGAGGCAGGTAGAAACCCTTGCATCTCAGAGGTGGAAGGGCTTTCAAAGACCCTACCTAACCGTCCACCCCCCACATTGCAGGAATCTCCCCTCCACATCGCACCATCAGCCTCGGTGATAGCAGCTGCCTCCCATGGCAGGGCCTACTCCATTCCCTCACTGTCTCCATGCCCTGAAGCTGTTGTGGTGGGACCAGCAGGGCTTTAGAACTTGGAGGACTCGGAAGGACCCGGGTTCATACCCTGGCCTTGCATTTTAGTAGCTAGGTGACCTTGGGTGTGTAATTTAACCTCTCTGAATCCTGGTCTTTCTGAACTGTAAAATGAGAAATAAAAATGATAGTAATATGCTCCTTCCTCACAAGATGGAATTCTGCAGTTAGTATTGTACTTGGCACAGAATAGGTATTCGGTAAAAATCCTCTCCTTTCCCTGAAATTCAAAACTCTTTCTAATTTTTCCAACTGCAATTCCTTGCCCCTTTCGCCCATGAGTCCTGGTTCTGCCCCTCTGCTACTCACAGGGACCAACCATAGGGCCACGAAGGGTGTCAGAGAAGGTTTGGGGTGTTGATAATATGCACGCTACTGTTTAAGTAGCACAAAATGGGCAAAGGAACAAATAGGCAACTCATAGGAGAAAAAGAAGTGCCCAATATATGAAAATTGTTGAAGCTGACAAGTAATCAGGGAATTGAAGTAAAATGTTTTTCACCCACTGGACTGACAAAAACTAAAACCTTTGGCCCTACCTGGTTTGGCTCAGTGGTTAGAGCGTTGGCCCCGGGGACTGAAGGGTCTCAGGTTTGATTGGGGTCGAGTGCACGTACCTCGGTTGCAGGCTCCATCCCCAGCCCCAGTCTGGGCAAACGAGGGAGGCAGAGGGAGGCAGCCAATTGATGTGTGTCTCTCACATCGAGGGAGGCAACCAATTGATGTGTGTCTCTCACATCGATGCTTCTCTCTGTCCTTCTCCCTCCCCCTTCTCTCTCTCTCCTTCCCTTCCACTCTCTCTCCGAAAAAGCAATGGGAAAAATATCCTCTGGTAAGGATTAAGAAGCTAAAACCTTTGATAATATCAAGTGTCGACAAGGTGCACAGTGGTGGTTGGGAATGGAAAGCAGTGTAGCCTGTCTGGGAGGCATTTGACAGTCTCTGTTACAAGTGAAAATGGACATACTCTACGGTTTATTAGGTCCTGTTTGCAGTATCTGCATCAGCCAGGCTCCTGCTTAAGACGAAACATACTAGAAAGTTCTCTGCAGTTATTTACAAAACACAGGAAACAAACAAAATGCCCACTGATGGCAAAAAATTCACGTACATCCATACTTCAACTGTTACTCTGCTAGAAAAAAAAAAAGTGCCGACATGGTTAAGTAAAGGGGAAAAAAATCATTGCAGAACAATGTATACAATATAATCCACTTTATTTTTAAAAGACCGTGTGTGTCTGTGTAAATTATGTATGTAAAAATGCCAAAAGAAAGGTACCGAACCAACAATGGCATTTCTTGACGTGAAAGAGCGAGAATGTCAAGGGGCCCTCGTATACTTGACTTTTTTACAGGGAAAACATATTCAGCTTTTTCTTAAGAAATTAAAAGTTTTAAAAATAGTCAAAATCCCATTATCAGTCATTAAAATTATCTATTTCCTTTAAACATAAATAAGTCCTGAGTTTAATTATTTTTAAATTTGGATGTGGGACATGAGATTTTACATATAAAATTATCTCAGTGTGTTTAAAGTGCCTATTAAAAAAGACTAGAAGAAAATATGCAAACTGGTATTCTCTGAGAGGTGGGGTTTTATTTTATTTTGTTTTATTTTGAAATATGTTTTTATTGATTTTAGAGCCAGTAGAAGGGAGAGGGAGAGATAGAAACATTGATGAGAGAGAAACATCCGTCAGCTGCCTCTTGCATGGTCCCCACTGGGGATCAAGCCAAAACCTGGGCACATGCCCTGACCGGAATCGAACCTGTGACCTCTGAGTGCATGGGATGATGCTCAGTCCACTGAGCCATACTGGCCAGGCTGGTAGGTGGGCTTTTAGTTGATATTTCCTTCACTGCACTTATCTGTGTGTCTCAACTGTTCAATATGTGTCTTCCAGGCCCGCCTTGTGGCCCCCTTATCCTTGGCCTGCTGCTGACCGGCACCCTGATTCTGCTGGTGTCCTTGGGTGTAGCCATTCACATATGCTGTAAGTTGTCCCCTCTTGGGCCATCATGGCAACCCCTTTTTGTTATTGGGGGTGTACCTGAGGGTCCTTCCTTCTCTAGGGGAGCAAGGCAGATGGGAGCCTGATGGAAGTTTTTCCCCTGAGAACCCAAGGTAGTTCCAGAGGTGATTCTGGGCCTGACCACGCTGCAAGGGTCAGAGACCACCTTGTCTCTGGAATCAGACAAGCTTGAGTTTGAATCCAACCCTGCTACTCCCTGACTCAGTGGCCTTGGGTACGTGCTCTGGCCTGTCTGAGCCTCCAGGGGCAATCAGGAGCAATATCACCTCCCTCCCAGGGTTGCTGTTTGTGAAGTCCTGCCCAGAGTGCCCAGCTGGGGTATGTGTTTAGTAAGTGGGACTCCGGTGGGCAGTGGGGATGGAACAAGTGCACAGAAGACATTGAAATGGGGTTTGGGTTATGTTTCCAGAAGCTAGAAATCCTCCCACTCTGTGAGACTGTAGGGAAACTGAGAGATGGCTGTGGCCCTCGGCCACTCCAGAGATACAATCATCTCCTAGGTTTTTCCCCCACCCCCACCCCCCATAGCTGCAGGGGAGGCCCGCAGAGCTGCCGGAGAGCCCAGAGCCACAGGCTCACCTTGAGCAAGTCACCCTTTTGGGCTTCTATAAAATGGGAGGGGGTGGCCTGCAGGGGTATGGACTAGAACAGTGACTCTTTTATAGGTCATAAATTTATTTGAACATGTGATGACAATTATGGACCCTCTCCCCAGAGAATGTGCACCCAGTTGCCACCCACAAAGGGATCCATTTACCCCATTCTAAGAACTGTTAGAGTTCAGTGGTCTGCAAACTTTTTGGATCAAGGACCTCATTAGTAAAAAAATTAAAAATAATAAACACTAACTTCAATTAACTGTATTTATTTATTTAATATATTATTTATGTTATTAAATGTGCTTCAGAAATAAAAAGTAATAAAGGGTGAAGTAAGCTCATGAACAGCCATGTTCATATTCCCTCCTTCACCCCAGTGGGAAGCCTTGCCCGTCTCCCAAGTGCACATGCCTGTCTGTACAACCTCTCACCTCTGACCTGCTGCGAAGGGCACAGGGGCACGTTTCAGGACAGACAGACTGGCTTAGATGAGCTGAGCTTGAGTTCTGGTTTTCCCACTTACTGCTTGACTTTGGGCAAGTGACTCAGTAACACGCTTGCTCCGTGCCTCAGTTTCCGCATACGCAAATGGAGATAATAAGAGTAGTGTCTGACTCAGGTTTGCTGTGAGCATTCAGAGGGTTAAAGCACATGAAGCTGAAGCAGAGCCTGGCACCTGGGAAGTGGCCTGGGGTGTTGGCTGTCCCCCGTCATGCTCCTGGCTCTCAGCTTGGTGTCAGGAGCCCACAGTCCGCACTCACTGATGCTCGTGATTTCTCCTTTCAGGCCTGCGGCGGAGAGCCCGGCTTCGCTTCATGAAGCAGTAAGTGCTGGGACCTTGGAATTGTGCCCATGACGCGGCCCTGGGTGTGGTCCTGGCTTCCTCAGCCCCAGCTGCTGCTCACGGTCCCCAGCTGCAGGGGGCCAGAGCCAGGTGCCACCTTTGAAAACATCACAGGCTGTGTAAATCCATGGGGTGACAGAGCCCAGGACGGGAGATAACCTAAACAAACAGAAGTCCTGATGGTGGTGACAAGCAGCCCTCGCACATGTGGAACACACATGGAAGACGGCAGGAGGCCCCAAACTCTTTCCCACCCATTATTTTATTCGGCTTGGTCCTGCATGACACAGGAGGGTTATTTTTACAGACCCAGTTGAAAGACTTGCTCAGAGCAGTTGGGATAGGAAAGAGCAGAATTGGGTTGAAAGTGAGAGCAAGTGGGTTCCCTCCAGGCCAGTGTCTTCCCCGCTGGCGTGGGGTGTTGTGTTGCCTTCCTTGGTCCCAGTTCCTCCCTGGACCCCACCGGGCTCCCAGGAGTTGGCAGATCCACTAGCTGACTCCCAGAGACATCAGAGTGAACAAGACCTTGTCCGTGGGTCCCCCTGAGCTGTGTGAGCACAGGCAAAAGCCAGGGGACTGAGAGGCCAGAGGCTGTCCGTTGCTCCCAGCCTCAAGGACTTCCGGACCCCAGTTAGGCCATGGGCAGTGTTCTTGAATTGGTCTTTCTTCCTCAAAATAGAGAATGTTTCACATCTACCCATCTCAGTGATTACATAGAGTTGCCTGAAAAAAAAGAAAGCCCATGCCTCTAGATCGAAGAGGGCAGCAGGGCCTCGTGCTCAAGAGCTCCGGCTCCAGCAGGAGGCAGATCTGGGTTTGAATCCTGTCTGCCACACATCCGCCATGTGTCTGTAGGCGAGTCACTTCATTGTCTTGAGCCTCTGGTTCCTCATCTGCAAAATGGGATAACAGTACCTACCTATTGTGAGGACCAATTGGGGTAAGCACCTACAATGGGCTCGACCCCTGGTCCCATGGAGTCAAAGCACAAACTTATATCGCTTAGGAAAGGCAACTCTACAAGCCCAACAACCAAGAAACAAGGTGTATTTTTAAATACTCTAAAATTATTATTTCTATATAAGCTCTCCATGTAATATATTCCACATTATTATATATACCATCTTGGTATATAAAGATGCTTAAACATGCCTGCTGTGTTTTATGGGCAGTTTTCAATGATAATTTTGATTGTGTGCAATTTTCAATTTACATGCTGAGTTTAGAAACTACCCCTTACTAAGAGACAGTAACTTGGGTGTATTTGTCTAAACCTAGGCCTCCAGAATGTTCTTTTATGGAGAACAAGTCTTCCTTGGGGAACCACCTGCGGTTCTGCCCCCACTCACCCCTCCCTTCATTTTAACTTGTTCCCAGTGATTTGACACCAGTTTGTGGGGAGCTGGCTGATGGGCCTCATGCTTTGGCAAACCCACGGGTTCTGAGACTCAGCTAAGGCAGAGAAGGAGCTGAGGGTGGTCCTGGGTGAGGCCCTGAGCACCCCTCAGCCTCTGTTCATAGCTCTCATCTGTTGCCTATGGTTAGACTTACCTATGAGATGTTTAAACACCACCTGTGGTTTTGCTGTCATGATCCAGGTGTGGACATATTAGTTCGAGGGCCTCACAGACAAGCTGTTCCAAACTCAGGTTGCCATTTGGGGCAAATGTTCCAACCTCTAACTGGCCTTAGAAAACCATCCTATCCTCAGGCCACCTTCTTCTGGCCCCTCCATGTACATTTGTGAATAGCTTATCTTAGCAGGTACTGCTGGAAGTAACACTATTCAGAGCTAGAGTCCTTTGGGCTGCTTTTTTTTTTTAGCTTAAAAAATATTTTTAATGACTAAAATGGGCCCTAAAAACATACTGGCCTCAGGAAGGGAGCCCTGTATCCTCTTTTGCCATTTGCCTCTGTTACAGGAAATTCAATAGCGTTTGCCCGAAAAGAAGTGGTTTCACAACTTGCTGTTGTTTACAGGTTTTATAAATGAGAAGAGAACATGCTTCTGGTGTCCTGCTACAAAAGTACGTTGGTCGGGAATGAGGGCGATCAGGACAAAGGAGAGAGAAGGGACACACTGAATGGAAATTTCACTGACCTGCTGGAGCTGCCTGCTTTTAACTCCTGCAAGTTCTTTCTGTGGGCCTCGTGCATGGGAGCAACTTGTTAGGTGGTCGCCTGGCCTCAGAGCCCGGGGCACTTCGTGCACCGGGGGCCACACTGGAGCACTGAGTAGAAATGCCGCCCATACCGTTTCCTGCTCGCGTACTTGCCCTGGGCTGGGACCTTGGGTGTTGGCCGTCCAGCCACCATCTGCAAGTTGTTTTGCCCTGGTAGGGCCGTGACAGGGGGTCCTGAGTCATGGGACAGTGCTGGAATGGCTTTCCCTTTTCTTCCCAAGGACCAGATCCGTCTGGAGAAGGAAGCTTCCAGGAGGGCTGGCCTGGCTCTCACATCGTGCCAGTGTCTGAGGACCTCTGGGGCTGGGAGCTTTGGTTTGGGATGCAGGAGGTCACTTCACCTCCCATTAGGAATTTCCGTGGCTTTCCACTCCACCTTCTAATGGCTTGTATATTTCTTCTCTCACTTTCTGTTCTTTTTATCAAAAGGCCTTGGTTGTAAGAATAAAGTCATAGTAAAAAATGTAAATGGCTCGTGTGATATAAAAGCGTAGAAGCCCATCTGTAGGGCGAAGATGTTGATGCTTATTTGAAAAGAAATACGAATTAAACGTGTGTGTCCTCATTGGCCCCCACAGCGTAGCATAGTCCACATTGTAGGGGCAGAGAAGGCCTGAGAGGCTGGGGAGCGCCAGGGCACCCGGAGCCAGGCAGCAGGTGCCTCAGGGCGAGGTCCTCAGCCCACTCCCAAGCTGGCTTCACTGGCACCTGTTCACTTCTGTTGAGGGTGGAACCCCCGGGACCCCTTCCACCGAAGAGAAGGCGAGAGGCATCAAGGTCTCTGTCACATGTCCATTAATTTTTTTACTCTCTCTCAGTTTTGATGGTTAGAGAAGAAAAATGCAAGGAGAAAATGCTGAACTGGAGAGGGAAGTCATGATGATCTTGTGCCCTTTGAAAAAGTCCAGGGATCCCATCTTAGCTCCTCGCCCTGGGCTTTAGCAGCATAAGAGCTATTGAGCCAAAAGAAGAAAAAAAAAGAATGCAACCTTAGCCTGCAGTTACAGAAGCACCACGCCCAGGTCAAATGAGAAGAGAGTCCCGCCTGCTTTTCCAGCCCAGCCCTGGACTGGGAGGTAGAGTTAAGAAGGGCATTGGTTCTGTTCAGGTGCCTCTGGCAGCCACAGAATGTGACAAAGGGACAGTGTGACCATCTCCCGTCGTCTGAGATGTTTGCTGCCTTCGGGGTTGGAGGCACAGCAGAACTAGGTGTGGTGGGTGGGAGTTAGAAGGGTGTAGATGCTGGAGGTAGGTGCTCCAGGGAAGCAAATGCTTTCTGCCCATCAGCTTCAAGGGCAACAGGACAGGCTGCCTCCCGAGGCTGAGGGTAGTGGGGAAAGGCCAAGGTCCCCCAGATGAGACTCTTCCAGGGTTCACTTTTAAGGTGGGCTCTCTGCTTGGAGATGTCTCATGTACATGGTAAGAGATTAAGGCCCAGTCCTGTGAACTGCCCTCCCTGAAGGCTCACACCCAGTACACAGCGGAAGTAAGAACAGGCCTCAAGGGCCCTCCTCTCACTACAGGCTCTGCTATCAGAGTGTCTCCTTGCTGCTGTCTTTGGGATTGTGTTCAGTTCTTTGCAAGTTTGCGGAGAGGGGTGTTGAGGTTGTGGGGGTAGGGGGTGGGGATGGTGTGCTGCTTGGCCTGTTTCCTGCGCCCGCAGGCACCTGCCGAGGCAGGCTCCGCTCCCTTGGCCTGCCCAGAGAGCAGGCTGGGCTACCAGCAGCGGGGGCTGTGGTGAGGAGGTCTGCACCCAGCACCTGGCTTTTGTTTTGAAGAAGAAACTGAGCTGTTACTTCTTTCTAGAGAGCCATTATGGCAAAATACATATTTAAAAAATTGTTTTTTAATCCAGCTACCTTTTGGCTATCGATTCCACTTGTAGGCATTTATCTTTTAAAAAGCACACACCTCAAAGTTACGTGCACAAAGAAATACACGTCAGATTATTTCCTGTAGCTGGCTTATTAGTCAACAGTTGGAAACAATTCAAATGTCCATCAAAAGGAGCCAGGTAGATTAATTGGGATACAGACTTATAAGAGAGTCCATGCAAGCTGTTAAGGAACCAGCCAGATCCACACATGCTAGAGTCAAATGGTGGCCACTATATCTGCATATATTCTAATAACACCTTTACCGCTTATTCTCATTTTAAATCCAATACATGCTTAAAATTTAAGCACAGATAAAAACGGGTAAAAGAAATGTACATTAGGAGTCAGGGTATGGCTACCCTGGGTGCAGGGTGATCATTACAAGGGAGCACAAGGTTTGGGAGTTGGCATGTCCTGCTCCTCCATCTGGGAGCTGGTCACAGAGTGTGTTCAGTCTGTGAAAAGCCATTGAGCTGTACACTCGTGATATGTCAACGTTCAAATACAGCTATGAATATAGATATAGATTATACTTTGATAAAAAGATATTTTAAAATTCAGCACAGAACATTACAAAAATGTATAAAATCAGTATTTAAAAGCTCCTTGCTCTTCCATATTATTTCTGCATGTGCTTTCTTAAACAGAAAATTGCAATCTTATAAAATATAATATGTAATACATTAGATATAGAATAGAAAATTGAATCTTATAATATTAAGCAAACACAACTTTTTTCTCTAATAATGTATCAAGGTCTGTGGACATATTTGTTTGCATATGTGTAGAAGGTCTAAAAAGATAAACTCTTAGTTGTTAATGGCAGGCTCTGGGGAATTTCCATTTCTGAGCTGTTCATTTCAGGGTTGTATGAATTTTTACAACCATCATGTGTGGTTCCAATTTTGGTATACGTGCTGCCAAGGTGAACACGAAACAGCCTCTTTTAAGAGAGGCTCTGATCATTGAAACAATAAAAAATTGGAATCAGCTTAAATATCCATCGATGAGAAATTTGTTCATAAATTGTGATTCTTAAAAATCTGTACCATGGAGATAATTTCGATGCATGCCGAGGTGGCCAGGCAGCAGGGCCTAGCTATTAGCAGCTGTATGACCTGGGGCAAGCCAGTGACCCTGGGAGCCTCAGTTCTCGCCTCTGAAATGGGATCACCAGCAACATCTCCCTCTTGTCTCAGCCTCACCGTGGGCCTGGAATGACTACGGATAGAGCAGGACTGGTTTCCTCCCCCCCTTCCTCTCACTAACGGTGGAGAATCCGGGCAGCAGCCTGCAGCTGTGGCGCCCAGCAGGGCCCTGTTCAAAGAGAAAGGGGGCTCCTACACCACCCCTTTCCTTTCATCCTTACTCATCCCCACCCAGCAGTTTGTGTCTCTACTGTAGGAAGTGGGCAACATGTTTTCAGAAAGTGATCCCCAGCCCTGTGTGGGCTGCAGCGCTGATCTGAAGCTACCACCCAGTCAAAGGGAAAGAGAGAAAGAGCCCTGTTTTCAGACGCCTTTCCAGGTGTGGAGAATGAAAGAGATTTCCTCTGTCACTTCTTGGGAAACCTCCTCAGATGCGTCACTTTTCGGTGACCGTGAGTCACTGGTTCCTAGAGACCTCCTGGCTACATAATTCAATGCATCGCTGAAACAGAGAGAGACCGTAGTCCCCACACCACATCAGTTGGGGATTCTCAGAAACAGGCATGGCAGTGAGCACAGGAGCGCTGAAAGCTACTTCTGTGTTCCTGCCCAGGATCACTGGCTATCCAGGACTCAGTTTGCCGCATTAAATGACTGCCTTTTACATGCGAGTACCCATTTTAGAGTTTAGTTTAGGCTTCTGAATTTGAATGGAAACAGTCTACTTTTCTTTTATATACTTTTATCTATTATTTATTTTTTAAACTACGTTTTTATTCATTTTAGAGACAGAAGAAGGGAGAGGGAGAAAGAGAGAAACATCAATGTGAGAGAGAAACATCAATTGGCTGTTTGATCCCCCTACCAGGGATCAAACCCTCAACCTGGGCATGTGCCCTGACTGGGAATCGAACCAGTGACCGTTTGGTGCATGGGACGACACTCAACCACCTTAGCCACAGCTGTATGGCTCTTTCATATGTTTAACTGCAGACCACCTCCCATTCTGTTCCTCATTTATGAATGAACAACTCACCCTGCCCCTCTCTCTGCAGTTAGCGCTCCTACTCCTTAAGCTTCTTGCTCCAGTTCAAATATCATTATTTGGGGCACCTTCTGCGTGACCAGCCTGTTCTGTGCCTGGATTAGGCATGACCAAGACAGACACAGCCTCCAGGGCTCATGTCTTGCTCATCTCACTTAGCAAGGAAGCTTCTAGGCTTCAATTCCTTCACTAGCCATCTCCCGGGGGGACCAAGGCCTGTGGAGCTGCCTTGTCACCTGGACAGATGGTCAGCACTCCCAAGCCTTGAGGCCATAATCTAAATGAATAAGTAAAGGAAGAGGAAGGCTAGGGGGTCCTCCAGCTCCCACAAGCAGCTTCTGCTCCCGATGTCAGTGAGCTGGGAGCCCTGCCCACCCTCGGGGCCCCTCTCAGTGCCTTGCCTGCTGGCATCCTGACCTAGCTTTTCTGGGCTCCTCCCGGCTGTGAGGACTCGAATTCCCCACACTTCTGAATGTTTACTCTGCCAAGTACAGTTGGCAAACACCTTGGAGAAAAAAGCTCAACAAATAAGATATTAATTGAGCACCTATCGTGTTCTTGGAACTAACACGTGAACACATGAAGACACTGTCCCCAATCCCATGGGCTTACATCATCTTGAGGGGCACAGATGCAAGACCAGCACTCATATGACCTTGAGAATGACCTCGGCACTTCACTTGCCCCAGTCATGGACAGACGATAAACAATAGGCAAATACCCAGATGGTGTTAACATGGGCGGAAGGCCTGAATTGCCTCCTCAAAGAGGTTGTGTCCTGCTGATAGAAGAGTTTGCAGCCTCTCACAGGAGATTTTGTGGAGGTCTCTGTGGTTGAGTGGGGGCAAAGTTAAGAGGGGAAGACTTGAAGTGTTGGCGGGGAGGCGGAGGCCCACCTTCCCCAACGCACCCCTCCCAGTGCCCCTTCAGCATCTTGTGGGCCGGAAGCTGGCTGCTTGGCTAGACCTGCTGGCTGGGGTAGGATCAGCCAAGCAAAAGGGAGGCCGTGACCCCTGTGCCTCCATTCTCACTTAATTCCAGGTCTCAACCAAGCTTGGGGGCCTGGGGAGCAATGAGCAACGGGAGACTTGGCCAGCACAAAAGATGGGACTGGCTGGAGGTCACGGAGCCTCTGGGTGGGCAGGGCAGGACAAGGTGGAGTGTGAGGTGTCCCTTCTATCTTGTCTTCCCTACAGCCACGAGGATGCTCTGGTGTCGGGAACGGGATGAAGGGTGAATCCACAAGAGAAGCAGGCTTCTGTGGAAGTCCTTTCCTGGGCCCCCCTCAAAGCCCACCTCCCCACAGACTCAGAATGCCATCTCTGGCAACCAATCTTGTGTGTGTTGGAGGAGGTGGGTCGAAGGAGGTAAGAAGAAAGGTGTGCTTGGGCCCAGAGTC